GATTTGGAAGGGTTGGATGATGCAGCAGCAGCCCCTGTATGGTCTCCCCATTACGCTCCAGACAGAAGGGCTCATTCCACAAACCCCCTGAAGCATCGTCCCCACCTCCCAGTCCATTCCGCATGGAGAACATGATGGACACATCCAGGGCTTCATCACCTTCATTTTCCACATCCCACACAAAGACTCCTACAGGCAGACTGCTATCCTGGGAGCAAGAGATCAGACTCAGATGGTCCCAGTGTGGCTCCTCCTGGGCCCACTCCCCATGATCAAGCCTCGTACCAAGGACCTGACTCAAATACTCCCAATATATTCTTTTTTAATTGAGAGAGAGGAGAGGGAGAGAGATAGAACCATCGATAAGAGAGAAACATCAATCGGCTGCCTCCTGCATGCCCCCTCCCGGGTATCAAGCCTGCAACCCAGGTATGTGCCCTGACTGGGAATCAAACCAGTGAACTCCTGCTGCATGGGCTGATGCCGAACTTACTGAGCCACACTGCCCGGGCCTCCCAAAATATTCTTGATTTCCACTAGCATCTCCCCATATTCCCAGGCAGGCTATCTATCAGGAGACAGAAGACCAGTTGGGCAGTGGTCCTGGAAAACCAGTATGATGTTCATGCTCCAACCTCTTTCACAGGTCATGGAATTTCCAAGAGACAGATCCCAGGGAAGGGAGGACAATGGAGGAAACACAGAGAGGGAATCTCACCTGGTAGTCATGGGGCAAGACGGGTGTGATCTGGCGGCAGGTGAGGGTGACATTCTGGCCAGGAAGCTGATAGACAGTCCAGGCTCGGGGATAGAGGGCATGGTAGAATGCAAAGAACCCACACAGGCCCCAGTTCCAGCTGCGCAAGACACTTGGGCGCTCCACGGACAGGACTTGCTGGTACACAGTCTGCCCTTCCCGACGCAAGCACACTGTGAACTAAACCAAGAAAGAAGATAGGCTAGAACCTGGTAACCCACAGGCACTTCACACTAGTCTCCCTCCTTCCAAGTAGCTCCTCCGCTTCCAGAGCCTGCAATGGTTACCACTGCATCACAGCCTCACTTACCCCCAGGCCTCTCCCCCAAGCTCAGTGAGTCACCACCAAGTCCGGCCTCCTCCATTTATCCCCCAGACTTCCTCTCCCTTCTCACCACTGTGGTCTTCTTGCCCTAAGCCAGCCCTCACCATCTCTGCGTTTACCCTCCATCCCTACTCATCTGGGTATCAGTTCTTTCTTACAGACAAATCAAGATATGCTAGTCTATGTTCCAGTGACTCCCCATGGCCTTCAGACTAAACTCTTCTACCTGGATTTCCAGACCCTTGATCTGGCCTGTCCCTGCTCATTAGACTCATTACCTGTTGAAGCACCTATATTCTGGTCATATCACATACTCTATCCCAGTGGTTCTCAACCTGTGGGTCGCGACCCCTTTGGCGGTCGAACGACCCTTTCACAGGGGTCGCCTAAGACCATACTGCATATCAGATATTTACATTACGATTCATAACAGTAGCAACATTACAGTTATGAAGTAGCAACGAAAATAATTTTATGGTTGGGTCACAACATGAGGAACTGTATATAAAGGGCCAGAAGGTTGAGAACCACTGCTCTATGCCTTGAGCACACTACATTTTCTCCATGCTTTTGCCCATGCTCATTCTAAATCTGGTGAAACGCCCCCGTCCTTTTAGGGCTAGGCCAAATGCCATCTCTTCTCTTCAATCATTTAATCATTCTCCTGTGTATCCCCCTATGCCTCTAGTGTGTGACAATGTGTTTATTTACATTCTGACTCTGACTGCTCCATGGGTTGAGGGCAAGGACCCTTTCTAGTTCACTGAGGTCCGCAACTCCCCATCAGTCAGGCAGAGCTGGCATGAGTAGGAACAGAAGGGCAAAGTCTGCAGCAGTGTCCTTTTTTGCTCAGTGTCCCTCTCATTTTGGCATTGATGTGGTCTCACAGTGTCTTCTTCTCAAAGTCCCCTAATAAAAATTTGAGCTTGCCTGGCCAGTGTGGCTCAGTGTTGAGCGTCAACCTGTGAACCAGGAGATCACGGTTCGATTGCTAGTCAGGGCACAAACCCGGGTTGTGGGCTTGACCCCCAGTGTGGGGTGTGCAGGAGGTAGCCGATCCATGCTCTCTCATCAGTGATGTTTCTATCTCTTTCTCTCCCTCTCCCTTAAGCTTTGCCTGGCCAGGTGGCTCAGTCAGTAGGCATCCCATACACAAAAAGGTTGCAAGTTCAATTCCCAGTCAGGGCACATGCCTAGGTCACCAGTTTGATCCCAGGTTGACACATACAGGAGACAACCAATCAATGTTTCTCT